TCTGCGTCACATGTCCCAGCACGGTCTTGTCCTTGGTCTCCCAGGTTCCCTCCCCGCGTTTCCCTCCTCCCCAGCTCCACCTTGCATGCCTTGTGTCGAGGGTCGGCTTCGCCGTGCCCCTCACTCCTCCTCGTTCCCCCCTACCGTCGTGCCGCTGCAGACCCTGCACCTGGACGTCTGGGGCCCCGCCCCCGTCCCTGGGCCGCGTCGCGAGCGCTACTTCCTTGTGCTTGTCGACGACTTCACTCGTTACACCACAGTCTTTCCCCTGGAGCGCAAGGCCGACGTGCCTAACGCCCTCATCCCCTGGCTTGTCTCTGCGCGTGTCCACCGCGGTCTCCCTGTCTTGCGTCTTCACTCAGACCGTGGTGGCGAGTTTTCCTCAGGTGTCCTTGGTCGCTTTTGTCGTGCGGAGGGCATCACCCAGACGTTCACCCTACCGGACTCCCCACAGCAGAATGGGGTCGCCGAGCGACGAATCGGTTTGGTCATGGAGGTCGCTCGCACCTCCATGGTCCATGCCGGTGCACCCCATTTTCTGTGGTCGTTCGCAGTGCGCTACGCTTCTCACCAGCTTAACCTGTGGCCGCACCCTCAGCAGCCGCAGGTTTCGCCGACCTGTCTGTGGACTGGGTCTCCTGGTGACGCGTCTGCGTTCCACGTCTGGGGCTGCCTTGCTCACGTCCGTGCCTCCAGCACGGACAAGCTCACTGCCCGCACCCTTCCCTGCGTCTTCCTCGGTTTTCCCCTTGACGCCTCCGACTGGCATTTTTACCACCCGCCGTCTCACCGCTTCTTTCACTCTCGTGACGTCACCTTTGACGAGTCCGTCTCCTACTACCGCCGCTTCCCCCACCGTGGTCCCCCGGTTACCCCCCCCCTGTTCCTGGTCACCCCTTCCCCGGTAGTCCCTGCCCCTCCTCCTCCTCCTCCCCGTCCCGCCCCCTCTGGTGTCTCCCACGTCACCCCCCTTCCGTCCGTGGACCCGGTTGAGGAGTCTTCTGACTCTGGTGGCCCTCCGGTGCAGTCCTCGCCGGCCGCCCCTCCCCAGGTGTCCCCTCCCCAGTCCCCTCCTCCGCTGCCCCTGCCGCCGCTGCAGCCGTCGCCGTCGCCGCCGTCGCAGCCCCCGTTCGCTGACTCTGGGGGTGCTCGTCCCGGTCGCCCTGAGGGTGGTCCCTCTGGGGGTGCGGGTGTGGAGAGTGCCGGTGGTAGCCGAGGAGCAACTTGCGGTCCAGGTGTCGCCGTTGTGCCGCCGCAGCAGCAGTCCCCACCGGTGTCCGCCCTTCGCCTGCTCCGCCTTCCGTCCCCCGACCCTGCGTCGGTTCCTCCCCGACCGTCTCCTCCTCTTCCTGTCTACGGCCCTGTCTTCCCTCCGCCGGACTCGTCCCCGGCCCGTCTTCCCCCTCGTTCCCCTCCTGTGTCCCCTCCCCTGTCTCCTGACCCGACTCCTCCGTCCCACGTCTGGTCTCACCGTCCCTCCCGTGCTCGTCCTGCCTCGCCTGTCTTGCGCTCCCACCCTATGTTGCTTCGTTCCCACGCGTCTCGTCCTCCCCTTCTGCCGTCGCCTCCTCCGTCCTCCCTTGTTGTCGCGCCCCCCCCGCTGTCCGACTACCTTCGTGCCGCTCGTCCTCTCGTTCCTCGGGTCCTTGCCTCTCTCGTTACCGACCCGTCTGTTCCGGTCTCGTGCCTTGACGCTCTTGTCGCTGCTGTCGCTGACTTCGCCTCTACCCGCCGCCTTGACTACGCCACCGCTCTGGTCTCTGACCCTGCCTGTCCTCAGTCTGTCGGGGGTGCTTCTGCCCTTGGCAGTGACGTCCTGGAGGACCGCCAGTTCGAGCTTGCTTTCCTCTCCGAGGCTGCTCCCCATCTCTGTTCCATGCTGCTAGTCCCTGAGGGTGACCCAGACGCTTTCGACATCCCGACCCCTCGCACTTACGCTGAGACGACTTCGGGACCCTGGGCCTCGCAGTGGATAGCTGCCATGGAGCAGGAGATGGCATCTTGGAGATCCACCGGCACCTTCGTCGACGCAGTTCCCCCGCCTGGGGTGAACGTAGTCGATGGCCGGTGGCTCTTCAAGGTGAAGCGCCCTCCTAGAGAGCCGCCTGTCTTCAAGGCGCGCTATGTGGCTAGAGGCTTCAGTCAGCGCGAGGGGGTGGATTTCTTCCAGACTTTCGCTCCGACCCCGAAGATGACTACTGTTCGGGTTCTGTTACACCTAGCTGCTCAGCGTGACTACGAGCTTCACTCCCTCGACTTCTCCACTGCCTTCCTTCAGGGCAGCCTACACGAGCAGGTCTACCTGCGTCGCCCTCAGGGCTTTACTGGCACCTTCCCTCCTGGGACCCAGTGGCTCCTGCGGCGCCCCGTCTATGGCCTGCGCAAGGCTCCCCGTGAGTGGCCCGACACTCTCCGTGCTACGCTTGCTGACCTGCAGTTCTTTCCGTCTTCCGCAGACCCTTCACTCTTTGTTCGTGCTGGCCAGACTCCGTTCTACATCCTCGTTTACGTCGACGACCTGGTCTTTGCCACAGCAGACAGGGACGCGCTGGCCTCCATGAAGGCAGAGCTGCTTAAGAGACACACCTGCACTGACCTTGGAGAACTTCGCCGTTACCTTGGCTTGCAGATCTCCAGGGACAGAGCTGCGCGCACCATCACCCTGACTCAGTCACACTTGGTGCGCCAGGTCCTTCAGAGGTTCAGCCTTCAGTTCTCCTCTGCACAGCCCACCCCTCTGCCTGTAGACCACAGACTCTCCGCTCCAGTGCCTGAGGAGTTGGTAGAGCCCAGCGGCCCCTACGCAGAGCTGGTGGGTTGCCTCATGTACCTGATGACTTGCACTCGCCCAGATCTCGCATACCCTCTCAGCATCCTGGCTCGCTTTGTGGCCACAGGCAGACACCAACCACAACACTGGTCTGCCGCTAAGAGGGTTCTGCGTTATCTTGCTAGTACATCGGGCATGGGGTTAGTGCTAGGAAGACGCAGGCCAGTGGTCCTTACTGGGCACACAGACGCTTCGTGGGCAGACGACGCTGAGACACTCCGGTCTACCCAGGGCTACTGCTTCAGCCTTGGCTCAGGTGCCGTCTCGTGGAGAGCTACTCGCTCCTCGTCTGTTGCACAGTCCAGCTGTGAGGCTGAGATCTACGCCGGTGCCGTAGCGGCACAGGAGCTCCGCTGGCTAACCTTCTTGCTCACTGACTTAGGTGAGCGGCCTAGCTCTGCCCCGGTCCTGTTCGCTGACAACAGGGCCATGATCCTCCTGTGTCAGGAGCCTCGACTCGAGGGCAGAGCGAAGCACATTCAGCTGCGGTACTTCCTCCTGCGTGAGCTACAGCAGCGACGTCAGGCTCGCGTAGTACACTTGGCCTCAGGTGCCAACACGGCTGATATCTTTACGAAGGCGCTTGCGCCTAAAGATCATCAGCGGCACTGTGTCCAGCTTGGTCTAGTTCCTGTAGCCTCTCACTTGCTAGGACCTTGACTTTGTAGTGTCCTTTATATGTATACTCAGACTGGACTTGTGTCCTCTCCCAGTGGCTGGACTAGTAGTGCCGCCCTGCTCTTGTGCTTGCCTTGTGTGTACTCCTTCTGACTGGTCGCTCAGACCCTTGTCTCAGAGGTTGGACTAGTAGTGCCGCCCTGAGCTGTCTGTTTAGGACTTTCCCCTATGCAGTCTAGGGGGTGTGTCAAACATGTCTATTTGTTATGTGTGTATAGACTGTATAGGGTAGCCTCTTAGAGGGTACAACACTTAGCTATATTGTGTGTACTCTCTCACTATCACTATCAGTTGAATTTCTGATATGTACAACTTCAATTGTTAATTTGTTCTTCAGTAAATTCTGGTGAATACTTTACAAGTTGTAGGACTTCCGCTGTCTTACTAGTCTACCATTCCAGCAAAGATCCTTGGTTAAGTCTTGAAGTATCGCAAGGCTGTAACACAGACTTGGGTGTTACAACTTGTTAATACTGGCTGTTACTAGAGGTACTTCTTGTATTACTTTCTACTTCAAGTACTTTTGTCTGCAGATTCTATACTTAATCTCCTGCACCACCTTTCAATTTTTTTCAAAATTAGGTTATTGAGCGAAAGTGTATGATGTGGGCACGTTCAAAGCGTAATTATGAGTGTTTTTACGCTCATACATGAAAGTGGATTGAAGACCAAGTACCAAGCTGAAACCCCAATTTCTATATGTATGTGAGGGGATTGTATTGATTGAGCCTGCAGACTATGTACAATCGTAGATGGAGTCACTCGCCCTATCTCTTTTCACGGAGGGTAGAAGGAGGTGTCTAGGGCGGGGGGAAGCATCTCCTGCCAAAGCCATTTCACAACAGACGCTGCTGACACCAGCCCCACCACCTCCCCTCCCGCTTCGACAATGGCTGTTCCTCCCGAGTCCGCCATGGCAACTATCACTTCGCGCATTGTGTTCGCCACGCCGCACGTCAAATGCTGTGGCACCGCGCCCCCGTCGCCTTTAGATCGAACGACGTGCATAAATTCGGCCACCGATAGGTCCCTGCCACGCACCAGCCACCCTCCTGTTAACCCGTGAGCTCGAATCGGACCACGCAGCTATCGCGAAGGAATCACGCGACAGTATGCGAGGGATACTTGAGCGCAACGGAGCGACAAATACCTGTGTGCGATGTGTGCGACAAATACGTGCGACAAATACCTGATTCCGGCGGGGCTGCAGTTGAGGTCCAGCAGCAACTCGAGGTCGCGCAGGCGCATGACGTCATACGCGCACGGCGACCCCTCCCCCTCCCCCGCCTGCACGACCGCCTCCCCCACGTTGCACACCCACATCGCCCGCACTGCCTCTGGCAACGAGCACGCTGCGCGTACCCTCACTGGCTGCACCACCGCCGCACTGCCATGGCGAAGGGGGGGAGGGGAGGGGAGGCGAGGGCGGAGAGCGGGGGGATAGAGCGAGGGGAGAAGGGGGAAGATGAAGGAGAGAGGAAGGGGGATGAGAAGGGGGAAGGGGAGTACGGCAAGGTAGTAAAAAGCCGGCGGTTTTTAACTGAACCGGGAGCTGGTTTATAGTTGGTGGTTGCAAGAAACAAAAGCGTGGGTTTGCTGTGGAGCAGGGGCTGGGCTGTGTGGTGCTGCTGACCTGCACATGGCGACTGTGACCTGCTCCAGGTACGAGGCCCAGGGGTCGTGCTGCGCTATCAGCGCCACCTGGTGAAACATGTCCTCCTGCAACCACCGCAGCAACCATCAAGCCGTGTCAACTCAGCTACGCCGTTTCACCCCGTCAGGATTGCTTAAGAGCAGAACCGGGAGAGGGGACTAGGCATGTGAGGGATGCACTGGCCAGGGTGGGGTGCACGCACTTGTGTGATGATGGAGTTTGAGTGGCCTTTGTTGGGCGGCAGCAGCACAACGGAGCCGTCCACGTGGGCCAGTATCTGCAGCACGTGGAGGATGTTGTCCGCCTCCGTGAGTGGGAACACAGGCAGGCACTTGGTGGAATGCGCCATCGCACTCAGCTGCACCGCACCGGGCGATGCATTGAGAAGAGAGAACACGCACACGAAACACAATGGTTAGCACTACAGAATGGCAGAGAAGTACCAGGGTCCAGGGGACCGACGTACACTGTCTACAGGGATGGTGACGGTGACAGACGTACAGGCACTCGCACGTAGTGTTGCAGCTCCTGCAGCTGCCACAGCAAAGTTCCCACAATGAGCTTCCCTGGTAACGACTGTTTCTGCCTCTCCTGATCTGCTGCCCGTCCACTGCCCCTGGAGTCTTTGGCGGAAGGGCACTCTTCACACGCCGAGGTCCCGCTTGCAGCTTTGCACGGGGAGGGGCCACCGGAAATCGACGCCACAGCTGACTTCCAGGAGTCGCGGACGGGCTTCTTGCTCGCCTTGTCAATTGCCACCTGTCCCAAGACAGGCAAAGCGAGAGGAGGATGGGGTGAATGGCTAACGGAACAGAACACCCTGAACGATGTGTGTTGCTGAAGGTTGACTGGCAGTAGACATGGATAAGCACTGGGGTCTGTAGGGTAACTTGCTGTCATCACATGCTACCGTCGAGGGTACCTGGAATTGCCTGTAGGCACTGACCTTGGTTTCTCTGCTGTCGACTGGCAGGCCGTGGTGTGCTTGCACCGATGCATACAGCAGATCCAGCTCCTGCCATGGCTCACACGACACATGAAACGACACTGGCACTAGAACGACACTTTCGAACAAACAACCACTCAGTACTGGTGCTAGTGGTACAGAACCAGCGCTAGACGAATTATATTCATACGGGTAGCATGCGCAGAGGCGAAATGGTGGGCTTACCACGACGGCCCAGGCCACTAGATCTGCCATTCTCAGCGCGCCCGCTGCATACGCTTCGTTGGCTGGCAGCGCGCGGGTGAAGTCGTCAGGCAGGCGACCCACGCTGATGATGCCGTGCTCCGCCTGATAAGAAAGAGAGAAAACGAGCGAGACAAGGCCATGATGAACGACCGCTAAACGTGGGATGGGTAGCGGATGGACTTACTGGTGAGGACTTATCATGATGATTGTACAGGAAACAGTGGTAGTAGCGTTATTACTAGGGCATAATCTCGTTCTAAACGCCGTACGGGTTGGTGTGAGAACGCCATGATCATGGGAAGATAGTTTCCTCCCTCCGAGAGACTCTCTCTCGCTATCGCTCTCGCTCGCTCACTCGCTCTCTCTCGCTCTGCATCTCTTTAAGAAAGTCTCTGTTAAACCCGAGTGTGCGCACCTCACTGTCGAGCAGCGACTGGATCGCGTCCACTAGGGACATGTTCACCGTGATATCGCGCACTGCAAGAAACGAAATTCGAAGCCGTGAGTGACAGCGAAGGAAGAGCTCTTGCTAGTAGTAAGAGAGAAAAAGAACAGCTTCAAAGTTTGGGCGACTACACCCGCGGCTTCGTCACCCTACCAGGTCGACGGATCCCGAACGAACCGACTGTTCTCAGGAATAAAAAACGCTTGCATAACTCTAGCCCTTCCTGCATGGAGTCCATGCTTGGATCTTAGAAAAATCGTCCAAAAGGTAACAGGTATTCAGCTACTACAACATCTGATTTCATGGACCCCAAAAAGGCTAATAGATGCACCACTAACTACTTTTCCAGCCCGCATACGAGGGACGCCCCCTGCTGTAGAGAAAGCACCGAAAGTGCGCACCGAGAGACCGCTTATCGTGGCTTAGTTCGCATTTCTGGAGTTGTTTCTGAGTGGGCGTGGCCGCTGTCCATAAGCAGTCGTCACGAGTGACACATTGCGGTGCATGGCGCGATGCAGTCGCTGAAAGTGCACTTGGCGGCACCGCAGCGAGCGGGCGGGCTGGAGGGGACAGCCAAGAGAAGAGCAGCGAGCCGCTCCACATTGAGCTCCGTTATTGGAAAGACGAAACTTGTACGCGAAAATTTGTTATGAGGTGCAAACAGTGAGAATCAAGAGAAGGTATTATGGAGGAAAATGGGAACATCAAAACACCACATGGGCTAGGATACAGCTTAACAAAAAGTTAAAGGACAACCTCGGTAGAGCTTGGACGTGTGTGATGAGATGATATAGGTCTGGTAAGATCTTCAATATGGAACGCTCAGAGAGCGTTTTTAGTGTGTGTCAAACCGAGAAAGATGCAGGATCTCAGAGTAGAAAAAGTAACTAGAATGAGGCATACACGTTGGTTTTGTTCAGATGTTTGTAATCTCTAAGAGCATGCACCTGTCTAGCCTATTATAACATATACAAATATGTTTGACACACCCCCTAGACTTGATGGGGGGCAGTGCCTGGAAGACGACACACAACTCAGGGTGGCACTACTACTCTAGCCTCTGAAGCAAGGGTCCGAAGACCAGTCAACAAGAGTACAAACAAGACAAGAGCAAACCAGGGCGGCACTACTAGTCCGACCATTGGAAGAGAAGCCACAAGGCCAGTCAAAAAGGCATATACAAAGAGAAGTACACAATCAAGGTCCTAGCAAGTGAGTAGCTACAGGAATTAGACCAAGCTGCAAACAGTGCCGCTGATGATCCCTAGGCGCAAGCGCCTTAGTAAAGATATCAGCTGTATTGGCACATGAGGCCAAGTGTACTATACGGGCTTGGCGACGCTACTGTAGCTCGCGCAGGAGGAACTACCGCAGCTGGATGTGCTTCGCTCTGCCCTCAAGTCGAGGCTCCTGACACAGGAGGATCATGACCCTGTTGTCAACGCACAGAACTGGGGAAGAGCTAGGCCGCTCACCTAAGTCTGTGAGCAAGAAATTCAGCCAGCGGAGCTCCTGTGCCGCCATGGCACCAGCGTATATCTCAGCCTCGCAGATGGACTGTGCAACTGACGACGAACGGGTGGACCTCCACGAGACCGCGCCTGCACCAAGGCTAAAGCAGTAGCCCTGAGAGGCCCTGAGGGTCTCAATGTCGTCTGCCCAAGAAGCGTCTGTGTGCCCAGTAAGGACCACTGGCCTGCGTCCTCCCAGTACTAGCCTCATGTCCGATGAACTTGCTAGATAACGCAAAACCATCTTAGCGGCGGACCGGTGCTATGGTCGGTGTCTGCATGTGGCCACAAAGCGAGTCAGGATGCTGAGAGGGTATGCGAGATCTGGACGAGTGCAAGTCATCAGGTACATGAGGCAACCCACCAGCTCTGCGTAAGGACCACTGGGCTCTACTGACTCCTAAGGAATAGGAGCGGAGAGCCTGAAGTCTACTGGTAGAGTTGTAGGCTGTGCTGAGGAGAACTGAAGACCGAACCTCTGAAGGACATGGCGCACCAAGTGTGACTGTGTGAGAGCGATGGTGCGCGCTGCTCTGTCCTAGAGATCTGCATGCCAAGGTAGCAGCGCATCTCTCCTAGGTCAATACAGGTGTGTCTCCTCAACAGCTCGACCTTTACGGAGGCCAGTGGGTCTTTGTCTGCAGTAGCGAAGGCCAGGTCATCTACGTAGACAAGGATGTAGAACTGAGTCTGGCCAGCACAAACGAAGAGCGAGGGGTCTGCAGAGGACGGAAAGAACTGCAGGTCAGCCAGCGTAGCACGTAGCGTGTCGTGCCGCTCACGTGGCACTTGTCATAGGCCGTAAACCGGGCGCCGGAGGAGCCACTGGGTCCTAGGCGGGAAGGTACCGGTGAAGCCCTGTGGACGGCGCATGTAGACCTGCTCGTGTAGGCTGCCCTGAAGAAAAGTAGTGGAGAAGTCGAGGGAGTGGAGCTCATAGTCACGCTGTGCTGCTACGTGTAGCAGCGCCCGAAGAGTAGTCATCGTCGGGGTCAGGGCGAAGGTCTGAAAGAAGTCCACCCCCTCGCGCTGACTGAAGCCTCGGGCCACGTAACGGGCCTTGAACACAGGCGGCTCTCCAAAAGGGCGCTTCACCTTGAATAGCCACCGGCCATCGACTACGTTCACCCCAGGTGGGGGAATTGCGTCGACGTAGGTGCAGGTGGATCTCCAAGATGCCATCTCCTGCTCCATGGCAGCTATCCACTAAGAGGCCTAGGGTCCCGAGGTTGCCTTAGCGTAAGTGCGTAGGGTCGGGATGTCAAAGGCGTCTGGGTCACCCTTAGGGACTAGCAACATGGAACAGAGAGGGGAGCAGCCTTGGAAAGGAAAGCAAGCTCGTACTGCCTTTCCTCCAGGACGTCATTGCCAAGGGCAGGAGCACCCCCGACGGACGAAGGGCGGGCAGGGCCAGAGACCAGAGCGGTGGCGTAGTCAAGGCGACGGGTAGAGGCAAAGTTAGCGACAGCAGCGACAAGAGCGTCAAGACACGAGACTGGGACAGACAGGTCGGTAACGAGGGAGGCAAGGACCCGTGGAACAAGGGGACGAGTAGCACGAAGGTAGTTAGACAGAGGGGGAGGCACGAGAGCGAGCAACGATGGAAGGGGAGACGGGAGGAGGGGAGGGCGAGAAGTGTGGGAATGAAACAACATAGGGTGAGAACACTGAACAGGAGAGACAGGACGAGCACGGGAGGGACAGGGAGCCCAGACGTGAGACGGAGGCATCGGTCAGGAGTCAGTGGAGAAGACACAAGGGGGGAACGAGGCGGAAAATGGGCCGGGGACGAGTCCGAAGGAGGAAACACAGGACCGTGGACAGGAAGGGGAGGAGGCGGCGGGGGAGGCGCAGGCGAGCGATCAGGGGAGGGAAGGCCGAGCAGGCGAAGGGCGGACACCGGCGGTGACTGCTGCAGTTGGTGCTTGGCGCCGACACCTGGACCGCCAGCTGCACCGCGGCTACCTCCGGAACACTCCACTCCGGAACCCGAGAGCAAGCACCTCCAGAGCGAAAACCCTTTCCAGCACCGGTGCCACCCCCGAGCCCGCCGGGACAAGCCACGACACGAACCCCAGGATAAGCACCCTCCTCAATACAAGCACCCCCAGAGTCCACGGACGGCTGCTGCTACTGCGATGGCAGCGGCTGCTGCGGCGGCAGGACTGAGACGACGGGGGAGGGGACATCAGGGGGAGAGGCAGGCAGCAAGAACTGCGCCGCGGGACTACCAGAGTCAGCCGAATCCTCGACCGGGACAACTGACGGGAGGGGGGTGACGTGAGAGACACCAGATGGAGCAGGACGGGGAGGGAGGGGAGTAGGGGCTACCGGGGGATTGGGAACCAGAAACAGAGGTGGGGAAACCAGGAGACCTCGGTGGGGAAAGCGGTGGTAAAAGGAGACAGACTCGACGAAAGTGACATCACGCGAGTGAAGGAAGCGGTGAGACGGCGGGTGGTAAAAGTGTCAGTCAGACAAGTCAAGGGGGAAACCAAGGAAGACACAGGGGACAGTGTGGGCAGTGAGATTGCCCGTGCCAGAGGCACGAACGTGAGTGAGGCATCCCCAGACGTTGAATGCAAACACGTCACCAGGAGACCCGGTCCAGAGGAGGGTCGGTGAAACCTGCGGCCGCTGGGAGTGGGGCCACAGGTTCAGCTGGTGAGCGGCGTATAGAACAGCAAACGGCCACAGAAAATGGGGTGCACCGGCATGGATGATAGAGGTACGGGCCACCTCCATGACCAAGCTGATGCGTCGCTCAGCGACCCCATTCTGCTGTGGGGAGTCCGACAGGTTGTACGATTGGGTGATGCCCTCTGCACGACAGAACCGACCAAGCCAACCGTAAGCAAACTCGCCACCACGGTCGGAGTGGAGACAAAGCACGGGGAGACCTCGGCGGACTTGCGCAGCTACGACCCACGGGATAAGAACATCGGGAATGTCGGCCTTTCGCTCCAGAGGAAACACCGTGGTGTAGCGCGTGTAGTCATCGACAAGCATCAGAAAGTAGCGCTCTCGACGCGGCCCAGGGACAGGGGCTGGACCCCAGACGTCTAGGTGCAGGGTCTGGAGTGGCGCGGTGGCAGGGCGAAGCGAGGAGGAGTGAGGAGCACGGCACAGCCGGCCCTCGACGTTGGGCGTCCTAGGTGCGGTCACAAGCCACGGCTACCTAGGGGGACGCCCTCACCGGGGGGGACGCAGTGTCAAGTGTAAACAGGCCGAACACATGGTTCTAGGGGAACATCACAAGGGGGGCACCTGAGGCGGTCTCGGTACAGACAGCGTACCGCTCGTGTCCGGGGAACGTGGTGGTGTTGCCGAGGTTCTGAAGATAGCCAACACCAACTCAGTTCCTAGAGAACGAGGGGATGTACAGGCCTGTAAGAGTGCCCGTGGGGCCTGCTTGGCAAGGAAGGGTGGTGGAGCTACGTGCGACTACCCGATCGGAGGAGAGGTCAGCAAGTGCGATGGTGGCAGAGGCGGCAAGCGGCGTAAGGGAAGTGTGATCACGGAAGAAGCAGGCAGACGCACCGGAGTCGAGTGTGAAGGGGAGCGAAGTGCTAATGGCTGCCGGCGGAGGGACTAGTGTGGAGCCTAGGCTTTACAAGGCAGGGGATCCTACGCCTGACACAGTAGCAGAGCCTAGGCTACACACGGTGGACACACCTACTCTAGGCAACACCGTGTAATAGGACCCAGCCACACTAGAGTCATCACCATACATGACAGACATAGCATTCCTAATCTGACCCATGTAAAGCACTAAGACCGGCACACGATGGCGCGCCAGGGCGTACCAGTCCGGAGGCTCCGACGCAGGACCGAAGCGGTGGCAGAACAGGTCGTCCAGGTGGCAGTAGCAGCGGTCGGCGGTGTGGCTAGGCCGGAGGCAGATAGTGCCGCCACAAGGGCCAGT